CTGATAAATTTATGGGGGGGATTATACCTGCTGTTGGCAGGGACTGGGCTCTGCAGACCCACAGGTCCCTTCCCTCTCTGCATCCCAGCAGGATTTAGCAGACCCGTGCTGGTACACAAAGTCTTTGCAGTGAAGGTGTGACAAAGAGCAGTTTTTGCTCAGGGTTGCAGTGGCTGGTCTGAAATTGGGCAGATGTTGTAGGAGCCTGAGTAATGCAGAGAGAGCAGAAGATGCAGGGCCTTGCTGACAACAGGGGAAATGGCTGAAACACAGGAAAAAGCTTTTTTCTCTTTCTCTGTTGCTTTTGTTAGTATACTCAGGAAGTCCCATTAACACCCACTCACTCCAGGAACATGCGTTTTGTACCTTAATGTGTCTTCTATGAAAAGATGTTACTGAGGAAACAGTCTGGTGCTTCCTTGAAATGGTGTGGCAGAAAAACACCGCCCTGAACACGCAAACAAGCTCGCAGAGCAGGGCTGAGATTGATCGGTAGCACTCTTCTCCCCCACTGCATCTGCTTGGAAGCGTCTTGGGAAGCAGTGAAAAATGCCAGCCCCCTGCTGTCCCAGGCAGTATTTTGGAACCAGCTGTGTTATGCTCAGGTGCTGACCACGAGCAGGATGATCCCAGCCAAGCCACAGTCCTTTGGAGGAACGAGTATGGCTGGGGAGTGTTCTGCAGCCTGTGGATGAGGACAGGAGGGAGGATATCAGTGAGCGCTGACCAAGCCAGCTGCAGAGGGGACGAGGGGTAATAGATGGCACCCTGAATGTAATAAAAATGGTAGGCAACCTGCCTACTCATTCATATCCAGTATTTTTCTAAGTGTTGCTGTTTTTCTGCATCCTGTTAAGCTTTTTGATTTGTTTCCATCTGTTCAGTATAGATCACTTCTGCAGTTTACTTAAAACACAAATACCCTTTATGAATCTCTACAGATGGTTTTCAAAGACTTATAGAAAGACAACGATAAGATCAAGAAAATCTTGAGTGTTCGCCTCGGGGGAAAAAAATGGGACAGTCGCTTTGCCTTGCAGCTGCAAGCCACGTCAAATCAGACACTTTGATATGTTTCATTTTCCGTCTGAAGTCTACATCTGAAAGGCAGCCTGGCTTATTTCAGTCAATGTGCAATTTTTGTTAGTTGGGGCTCTTTCTCAGCTTCTAAAAAAGATGCTCATTTGCATCCCAGAACAAAGACAGCACTTTCCCCCCCTTAATTCGGCGTGCCTTCGCCAAGAACTAATCATGCTGCAGAGTGTGGGGTGCATGTGTGGTGTTTGAGCTGTTCCCCTCTGGCCCAGCACTTATGGGGTCTGTCCCCTCCGTGGTCGATGTGTGCTGAGCTGTCCCTGCCTCCGGGCCGTGCCCTGTTTGTGTATTTAATCCCACAGTCACTTCCCAGAGACTCCTATTGAAGCAGGGTAACTGCTGCATTGCTGCTGCTCTTCATCTGCTCCAGGCTCCTTGGAGGTGAAGTGGGGCTCACACTTCTGGTCTTGTGTTTTTGGCCTTGTTGGGCATGTCCCAAAGCCACTTGACATCAAAGGGAGTCTTCCCCGGGGCTGTAAGGGACACAGACATCAGCTTCTGAAGATTTCCTTCAGACAGAATCAAAATATTTGCAGAAACTCGAGTGTTTGCACTGCAGATAGGGAACGGGCGAAAAAGGGAGCGCATCCACCTTAAAAGTACAGCATGTACCTTATTACTAAGAGCTGATTGAAAAAAAACCTGTAGGAGTCATGCACGTTAGCACTGGACTTTATGTGCAAAGACAAGGTGTGTATTGTTTGCCCAATTAAAAAGATAAAACCTGTAGACCGCAGTCAGCGAAATGAGCTGTGAAATGAGTGATGACTCGCAGAACAGGCAGGTGCATGCACAAAAGCATATGCAAACTGCTCTACTTATCTACAGACAGGTTTATTGCCTGGTCATCAATTTACACTGAGGTTGCTTCAGAAATTTGTGGCCTGCCTTTGTGCTGTGCTCTCAGATAAGCTGTAAAAGTAGCAGCATCGCCCCGGCTTTTGCTTTTTTGGGGTGGGAATGGTTTTCAAAATGGGAAGGAGGTGAGAGAGGTTTGGGAAGGTGGGGATGAAATTCCCTGGATGCGGGGCTGTGAGCCCCAGGAGAGCGCGCGTGGTGTGAGCAAGAGTCGTTGAGAAGTAAAATACTGACTTTAAACTGTGGTATGATAGAAATTCCAGCAAGTTCTATAAATAAGGACACATATGCAGCGCTGCTTGGTGCGAAGCTAAAACCGTTTCATGGGGAAGTCGGCAGATAACGTCGCTCACCATCTCACACGCTGAATGCACAATCGGTGTGGGCTTCCTCTTTCCAGCTTTCTTTATAGGTCAAAGACTGTACGCTTCCTACAAGAGTTTTACGACCATATAAACCAAGCTTTTACAGATGCACATGTTTGGCTTAGGGATTTAGGATTTGCCTCAAACAGATAATTTCCCAGTTTGCATTTACAGAAATTTGTGTTTCTAGAGCTTAATGCATCTCATGGGCTTGTCTATAAGACTCTCACAAAAGACATGTTTTGGTACATTATGGACTTTTTATACCTAAAAATGATAGCCATATTAGATTATTTTGCATCTAAGCAGTGAGTCTGTGAACCAAGTAACTGTTGGAAAATTTCAAGCTGCTTGAATTGGGCATGTAATCTACTATAAATAACCTCATCTGCCGAAACTTCTCAAGAAGTAACTCTGACTTGGTCATTAGCCACTAAATTCGCTGCTCCTGATCTCAAGTAACAGACACATGCTTTCAAGCGAGAGGCTCAGGAAATCCGAAGTCCATAAAGCAAACACATCTGGTGGCTGTGCTCGCAATGGATTTCACACCGCAGCCCCGTGCTCTGACACTTGTCTCCAAAGAACATTCATTTCAAAAGCAAGGGTGAGAGCGTGGCTGGAACAAATCGGTTATCAAATTAGTCTGATTACAGATATATATATATATATATATATATATATATATATTTTTTTTTTTTTTTTTGTGGCTCCTATTCTGTGAAATTTCCTTTTCTCAGTCTTCAGAGTGTCTCAGCTTAAAGCTTCAGATCTAACCACTGCCAAACTTCCAGATTTTTTCAATTCTGTCCCATCTCAACTTAAAGGAAATGTGACTGCATCCCAAAGAGACCCTCACCTAACACGAGGCAGGAAAGGGAGATGCTTGGAGTGACTGTTCTTCAACAGGGAAAGGAAAAAGACTGCAAAGAAAGGGATAATCTGCCGGGTTGAAATTTCAGGGTTTTGTCTTTAGGCTTGCATGCACAAAGTTTTACTGCAGGACCAAGATATTTTTCAACTGGTGTAGCTCAAGCAGGATTTTTTTTAGTAGATGTAAATGTGTATGCATGCATGTGTGCGTAATGCAACAGAGGTCCCTAGAGACTGATGTCGTACAAAGAGGGAAATATAAGCCACTCGTTATCAAGCTAGTACAAGGAAGAGTATTTAGTTGCTGTATGTTGGGGAAAAAAAAAAAAAAAAAAGCATTGCTGTTGCCTTGTAAAGGAGCTTGTAACATTTTCCTGCCTGGCCTGAGCTGCCACATGCAATGAGCATCATCCCTGCAAGCAGGGGGACAGTTCCCCAGCCCCTAGCCCTTCTCTGCCCTCTGGAGAGCAGAAGACAAGGGGGACTGGCAGCAATATGGCTCTGAGGTGTCATCAGATCCCTGAAATGTTTGACCTTGGAGCTCTCACTGATGTAATACACACCTGTAGGTACATTAATGGCATCGACCTTGTACTTTAAGGGCTTGTAATTGCTAATTATTATATAAGTATTGTTTTATCCATAGTCAAAAGAGCTTCTGCTTCTGACAGGTGAAAACTGCCATTAAAATTAAGAAACCTGAAGCCCCCTACTTTGTTCTTGACTTTGCACGTACTTGTCTGCAGCAATATGCTGTGCTATATTCTTGGAGAAGTTACGTGCCATTGCTATAGCTCATTCCTAGCCACTACAGGTTTTTGATGAAGCTGAGTAATGACCCCAGCTGCAAAATACCGTATGGTATTCATAACATGGGGATGTGGTTCTCGTAATGAATTCAATTAAGCTGTGTGTTAAAATGCACAAGGCACAGTACCGTGTCCCCCACCGGTCGCAGTGTTTCCAGCAGCTGTATGCCATTGTTGCCATGCCCTTCACTGCCGAGGGTCACGTCACCGTGTCTTTGGTTGTCTCCATCTGTTACCTACTGGTGGTTAAGGTGCTGTGGTAAGTTTTGGCTGCAGTAAGTTACGTGATGGCAAAATGTTCACGTGGGGTGCACAGTGTGAGCTGAAAATTTTCATTTTGCCTTTCTATTCCTTACCTTTTCTATAAAGAATGGAACTCTGCAGTCATCAGCTCATCCCTCCATGTGCAAGAACACAGTTTTTCTAAATCTATCCTTAGCTTTTAGGACCTCTGGGGAGTCCTCACAGCAGTGTTTGAAGCAAATCCCTCATGCATAAAGTAATCATTTTTTTCCACTCACTTTTCAGAACCCCCTGGCAGCTCCCTGCTGGGCAGGGATGCTCTGCCAAGGGGCTGTGCCCCTGGAGGGGCCGTGAGCGCACCGACAGCACAGCTGTGCGGGGAGCACCTTCCCGTCCCTTGTGGGTGGAGGAAGGCACTTCTTCACCTGGGGAAGGGCAACAACCAGGTGGTGCTGGGGAATAAAATGGAGTCTCGCTGCTGTAGAGAGATCAGAACAGAAATTTGCCTTCAGTGAATGTGAAATTCACCAACAAAAATAGTCCCTGGGATATAAGTTCATTGTGTCTGCAAGAGGGGGGAATGTATGGCATGCGTATTTATTTCTAAGAAAGTAATAAAGTACCTTTGAAAGGAATGTTTTAAGATCTTCCAACAATCCACCAGCTGTTTGCAATTTTGTTCACCTACTAGAAGTGAAATGAGGGTTGCATAGCATGCTGCTGCAAGGAATTAGCTCCTTCAGACGTCCTTCTCAATCTTGACACCATCTTATTCAACACCTGTCTTCTGCTGAGAAGTCCTTAACTGAGGAATCATCTCTCCATCTGGGCCCTGTCTGTCCCTAAGCACCCCGGCAGCCTTTTGCAGTGCCAGCAGCCCTGCCTCCTGCTTCTCCCCACCCGCGGAAGCTCCTCGTCCCTTGGCTTTGCTATAGGTACCTAGGCGATCCATTGCGGGTCACCAGCTGTCTCTTGGAAATATATTGGTGGGATGAGGTTGGACCAAAGCTTGCCGATTTCAAAGATTTAACATCATTTTGCCCCCAGCGCTTTCCTTTACCGCACCTTGGTGCTTTGAGCTCCGCTCAAACTCTCTGTCCTGGCAACCCCCAGTGTGTCAGGCAGCTCGCAGACCTCACCCTGGCTGTGTGAAGCGAGGCCGTGCCTGCTGGCACAGGGGTGACCCCGCCGTGGCAGTTTTTCTGGTCGCTGATGTAATGGTGCCCGGGTTGCGTAAGAGGCGTTATTCACAAGAAATGGTCTCTGGCATGCTTATGAAACAGGAGCAGTGTGTTGTTGTGCTCTCCTTTCTTTTTTTTTTCTTCCCCAGAAGCTCTTAAGGTGGCTGGACTTGCCAAACCCCTTGTTACAAACAAAATCCCAGCCCCGTGTGCGATTGTCTGGCCTTGCTGTAGGATGTCCTGCAGTGGGCAGCAAGGCTGCAGCTGCCCTTCGCCCACAGCACCAGCACCCAGCCTGCTGTCTCCTCCCTGCCAGTGCTGCTCCTGCTTCAGAGGAAGGGGGAGGGGGTTATTTGTTTAAAAGTAATGCTTGTGTGCATCTACTGGAAACAGTAAGAGTGAAGAACAGAAGTCTGATTCCAGGCTGCTCTGCCATCTGCTTTTTGCCCAAGGAAAAGCTGAGATATGGGCAGACCCAGGGAGGACTTTTCTCCTGAGTGATTTAGGCTGGTGTTGCTGTGTGCATCCCTTGGGAATCTGCCTTTGGTTCTGAGCACAGTGTGTCCTTGGGGAACCTGTCTTTGCTTTTGAGCACAACTTCTTCCATGTGGTGCTGAGGCACAGCTTTTTAAAGTTTGTTCACAAGCTAGCAGCGTCCTAGGGGCTGGGTGCCTTCAGCTGGCTGCGGTGCAGCAAGGAGCACGGTGAGCAGTGCTCACTCCCAGCATTGGAGGGAAGTGGGGAAGAGCCAGGGCTGGTGCCTGGCATTCAGTCCCTGGGGAAGGTGCTGGCAGGAGCTCACGCAGCAGCAGTGAGCCCAGGCTGGAAGAGAAGCGAGGCATGGCGTGTGCACCTGGTGCTGCGCTCCTGGAAGGTGCCTTGCTCCCCTGCATGGAGCCGTGCACATGCCTGGGAAGCATGGTGCTTGCTGAGAAGTGGGGTGTAGGAATCGCTACCTGCCCCACTTATTGAGAAAGGTGTTTTGATAGAAACTTACAGGCAAACTGAAAAAAGTCGGTGGTGAATGTCGTGCTTGCTCAGGACCTGCAAAGTGCTGCAGTCAGCTGGTGCTCCAGTGGTACTGGGTGGTGCTGCAGGTGGCAGCTCTGGGTCCTGGGCCAGGTCTGGGTGAGCCTGGGCCAACTGCTGTGTTTTCAGTGCACCAGGCCTCTGCAGCTCTCCTGCACGCACATTTCGGGGTTTCCATCCTAAATCTTTTCTGTCTGTATGTGAATAAGCAAGGTGAAAACAGTCTAACATGAGCATTTCTCAATTCACCAAATGCATTTCTTTTTCCCCAGTCTGAATCATAGAGGAAAAAAACTGTCAGAGCCTCAGCTAAGAAGGATGTAAAACTGGTATTATACCTCGTAAAACAAGTGGTGCAAAAGAGAGCTGTGTATAATGCTGAGTGGGCAACTCTGCAGCTAAAGTGCAATAGATTATTTGGAGCTTGAGCGTTGAGGACCATCAGTCATGTGGTTTCCAAGAAGCTGAAGATTTACACTGAGAAATGATTTGCAGAGAAAAACTCTGTGACTGCATCAGGAAAAAAGGTGCATTTGAACAGAGGCCTGTTAACTGGCATGGCCTGGGCAACGTGCTTCTGAAATGTTTTTCTTTTTTTTGCTAGATAAACAAATCTGCACGGTTTAGCTGAACTCCTTGTCCTGCCTCCAAAGTTAATTTGAGAATAATGAATGAGAAGTTGAAAACCAGGTTCTAAGTGGCTGTCTCATAGTTCTCCCAGAGGTCCACAGGCATTTAGCTAGCTACTATCTCTGGTTTCTCTTGCACAAATAGAGTTTTTCAGTACAACAGGAGCACAAGAAAGGCTTTTTCTCTAACAATTAATTTGCATGACAAGACGTGGCACAAAGGAATAAGCAACACAAGAATGGAGCTTCATTTGTCGCTTGTTTATTCTTGAACCACGCTCTGTGCACCTGACACATTTACTGGCTCGATTCTGTATCTAATGCGAGGAATTGGCACAGCCTTACTACTGTGGTTAATTTTAAATGCAACAAGATCATGCTACGGTACTTGACACAGCTCTAAGAGCAACATCATGACATTGTTGACACTGAATGTTTACTAATGGCATCTGCTGCCAAACTCAAATGTAAAATGAGTGGGATAACAACAGCAGCATTTAAAAAACTTCATTCAAGGGAGCACTTAAAATTTTATCAGGTCTAACTGGCATGGCAGACCCGCAGATGTGGAGAATATCCAGTTTCCCTTGCTTACTCACAAGTTTCAATGTGCAAGCCAAGCAGAGCTCCATCCCCTGAGGCAGGAAAACCCAGAGGTGCAGCATCAGAGCACACAGGCAAACATGCAAACATCTGTCCTGGCGGTGCTGCAGCACCTCGCTGGGCTAATTCATGAATTCAGATCCTGCCTGTCTCTTCTCAGCTAAACCTCAGATATTGGGCTACTCATGGTCTTAAAAGTGTTGCATAGATATTTTAGAATATATGTACCTTTAGCTGTTCAGTCAATAAAATAAAATAGTATAAAATGAAAATCAGAGTTCTATAAATAAATATGGTCGAGTTAATCAGTAGCTAATGATCTGTTTGTGAGGATGTAAGCAGAAAAGAATTACTCTTTTCTGTGCTATTTCTGTGAACGCTTCTAAGTGTGGGTGCAGTTATATTGGCTTAAATCTTCTCCGCAAATACAGCTATAGTGTAAACATTTTATACAAATATAACTTCATTCACACTTTTGCTAACACAAGCTACTTTGCTAAAAAGCACTCCTATTTAAATATTTATACAAAAAATTGGTAGGTTTTAAAACACATACTTAGTTCTGACACTGCAAGTCACTCATTTAATTCAGCAGAACTGGGTATGAGGACTCCTATTCCTGGAGGTGGTGAGAAAAGAATCGTAGAAAAGATTTGTTTGTACCCGTGTTTCAAATCCTGCTCCCTCGCAGTATTAAACTGTGGTAGAGCTAATCAAAATGTTTTGAATCCTGATGGGTTTCAAATATCTGCATATCAATGGCATTTGGATTTTAAACGTTCTGACTGTTGAAATTTTTATTCAGGGAAGGCTTTTTTTTATTTATTTTTTTTTTTTTTTTTAAGTTTTTCTACTCACAGAAATAGAGTTTTCAGGACTTTTGGTACTCATTTGTGGCCAAAGGATAACAAAGAAGAAAGAAAATCTATTCTCTTTTTACAACCTGTAGTCCAAATTGTGAGCAGTGCTTTGCTGTACAACCTCAATTCAGTGATGATGATAATAAGTTCCTCCAGTTGTTAAGTATGGCTAATAAAGTTGAAAAACACCTTTTGAAAAATGATTAGGTAGATAATAAAGTATGTCAACTTGAAAATATGCATTCTTCATGTGATGACTGGAGATAGTTTATCACTTTATGAGTGACACATCCATTTATAAATATTTATTCTCTCCAGTGGTACTGATAAATCTTTTGAGCCTATAAGCCCATTGATACATACACAGTAATATCATTTGTCTTTCCAATGCATTTTATTTATTATTGACTAATTGCCTGCCAGATTGTAAATATGATAGGGGTGGCATTGTGCTTTGATTAACTGTATGTTAAAGTACCCAGAGGAATTTAGATTTAGCTCTGAGCAAAGACATCCAAGGCAATAAATTGTATATTTTGAAATCAGCTATGCAGTATGGAGCTGCAGCGCTAGTTAAACAAGCTGAGCAGAGGCATTTTCCAGAGCAGTTTATTTTGATTAATGGGTTCCCAAAAGCCTCTTGCTGCTGTTTACAATGGATTTGCTGTAATATTTACAATAAACTGGGGTTAGTCAAGAGAGTTTTAATGTACTTCAGCAGGTTACTTACACTTCACAAACCAGGGGCAAGAAGCACGGTGCAAAGTCAGACTGGAAGATGTTTTGTCCTTCACTGTGAGGTCTTCTTGCAGCAGGCATTTTTTTCCTGCTCTCCCCAGTCCTGTTCCCTCTCAGGCGTTTTCTTAACCAAATGTTTAGAACTGGCTTAACACATCTTGAGCCACCTCTGCGATGACTGGAGATAATTTATCACATTAGAGCTGACAAGCCGTTTATAAATATTTATTCTCCGCCGTGGCGCTGACGAATGGGCTGAGCGCGCGGGGTGCTGGCGGGGGCGTGCAGTGCGTTCCCCTGCACCACGGCACCGACACACTGCTGGGAATGCAATGAGGGCAGCGCAGGCTCTCGGTAACGCCAGCCAGCTCTTCTCAAGCATCCTGGGCGATGAGATTCAACCTTCTCCATGGCACAAACGCTGCGGCAGCAGGAGGGTTCCAAGCTGGGAAGCACTTGGCACCCTCTACAAACACGCGCGCTTGCTACTGTTATAATTTCCATATCTTGCAACTGGGAAGGCCAAGTGTTATCCTGCCCAGGCAGAAATCCCTCAGTGGAAGTCTCCTGCTTGAAATAATGCAAAAGATTGGAGGCATGTTAACAGAGTGCTGTGTTGCGCCCTGCTCTGCCCACGAGATGCCTGCCAGCAGCACGCGTGCTCCCAGCCCTGTTGCTCCCTCCCTCTTTTCTAAAAATTGAACTAGTTTGTCAGGCCGTATTTATGCAACATGTAATTTGACAGAAATCCTATTGTAATTAGCACCCGCTAATCACTGTCAGTAATGTTATTTAGCTAATTGTACCTTGGGCAGTAAAAAAACAAAGCAAAACCAAGCCCGGTACATAATTTTGTCCAAATAGATGAAACAGCAAAATGTGCATGTTCCCCAGA